GACTATCCCCGATATGTAACGAGTCTTCACAAACAATTACACGCATAAGCCTGGATAAGAATTTCAGGTGAAAGGGCCATTAGGTGGACAAACCTGATATTAAAAATTCTTACGGCCTGAACCCGAAAGTTATGGTGAAAATTTGCTCCTAAATACTGTGTTCTGCCTCACTCGGTCAAGTTAAAATAGCAAGTGTGTTGAGTAAAGTACGGGCAGATTTGGCGCATGTCAGCGCACGAGCCCTTCTCGCGCAATGGCCTTTTTACAATGTAAAACCCAAAAGCAATATACTGTGAGCGGAAATATGACGGGTGAACTGTCCGCTCATACGTTTTTTAAATCCCCGAGAAGCTGTCCAAAAACAGTTTTATTGGACCTACATACAAGTATGCATTTAAGGTATAATAGCGAAAAATGCCCGAAAAACGTCGACAAGCGAGCAAGACACGTTTATGTGGAAATCATCTATGTTGAACTGGAGCCTATCCATATGTAAAACTTCCTTTTTAGGCGCGATCCAGGATGAACTGTAGGTGCGCTAGTTCATGTAATGTTAACCAAAATTCTCAAACGTATTTTTGTTTAAAAAAAACTACTCATGTGACGTCATAAAATTATCCGCCATGCAGAATAACTCTATTATAGTGCATACGCATTGGGATACCGGCTTTTAAACGAACTTCTTTCTGATCCTCATGTGACAAGTAAACTCTGTAGAGTGACTAATCATAAAACTGACATGTAACTCCCAGATATTCACTGCCCATGCCAATTTAACAAGGTTAAATAAAAATGCATAAAACTATTGATTTTGAACCTCTTTGGCAAAAAACATTTCTTCATTTGTTTGAATCTACAATGAATAGAATAAATTTGTTTTAAAAAAGTGTATCAAAACGTTCATCGTTTCTAAAATACATAACGCATATTTTTCGCATGCAAAATGCATCGTGAGAGGCATCATATCGAGCTTATGAAATTTAGCAGAGGATTTCAGCCAAAGTGTAAACTTGAGAAGCCATATAACTAAACGCAAAAAACGATGTTTTACTAACTCTTAAAAATTGCATATTTCGTTATTTTTTGAAAACAAAGGGTATCTTCATTAAATTATAGATTTAGACTAAAAAGAAACAATTGTCCATTAAACAAGTAAAACAACGAATAGCTATGCATGTTTTTCATGAAATATAATTGGATATTTAAAGGCATTTAACATCAGGGAAACCGTGCATGTTAAATAAGTAGTCATGTTTACGAAGTCTTCTTTTTTCATTCGACCAGAAAGAGATTGTTTCAAAAGTCGGCACCACGAAGTGACTGAATTATAATAGACAAATGCTGCAGGATAACACTCCAAGTGAGGATATTATTCGGTTTTCAAAAAGTTTCTAATTGTGCAATTTTTAATACCGCGAAATGGCCCTTCATAATTCCTCATTCCCCTATGTTAATCAGTATGATCTTTATAGATAACATTACGGCTTAAATTCGCTGCTAATTTTCATGAAGTACATATGGTCATTTCTTAATGCCACTTATCACGACTTGTAGTTTTTAAGCCCGGAATGCAAGCGTAATTACGTTGTGCTCAAAATTTTCTGGAATTGAAATAGTCCCTGATAACCTAATAATACTCTTGCTTCGAAGAGAATTGGAATAAAAAGTACTTTTCCACCTACTTAGCAAAATAAAGTATATTTTTATGCATGCTTTCCATATGAGATGAGTGAGTTTTTACGGGCATCGAAAATCAATAAAAAATGCAAACTACATAAACAGTCATTTCTTACAGAGTATGGTTTTTGCATGCAGCCGGTAAGAGGTTCGTTTGAAAACCGGCATCCAAAGGTAACTGCATTATTGTAGAATTATACTACATGGTGATCAGTTATGCCAAACTGTTTAATTAATATTTTCGATGCAAAAACACTCTTAGGAAATTCGACTGACATTTTATGCGTTAGCAAACCTGCTGCACATCTGATATGTGTAAACAACCACGTGGTGAAATATGCAGCTACAATGTTTTGCAACTGCGGCAAGTTTCAGAAGGCAGAGGAATTATAAACAGCTATGTTAAGAAATGTATGTTTTACTTTTATCTTTTCATTGGATTATGTTAATTTGTCTCAAAATGTTATTAATTCTACCATCAAAATTCATCGTTCCTTTCGGCAAGAATGAGAACTTTTGCTAGTTCCCGTGGCATTTTAAACATGTCCTTTTAGAATTGGCAAGCAATTATGTTAGCTTTGCGAAAGAAACTGTACCATCCTTCATACGCCTTGCGAATTATCTTGAGACTGAAATGCTAGGCAGACAATCTGAATCACAAATACGGTCTTGTGAGTCCCTCCATATTTTATATGCAGGAAAATATTTAATTTGTAAGTAAAGATCATTCGACCTTTTGAAACGGCGATGCCTATCCTGTGTTTCAAAATAATATAGCTAAGAGACAGCGACTTGTGAACTACTGTGAGTAACCGATCACATGACCTGTAGGCAAAAACTCTGAAATTCTTTTTTGCGTTGGTAGGATTACTAAGGTGGGGGATTAATATTGATTATTGTGCGACACAATCGTAAAAATAATTTGGACACGGTAGGATGTTGGCTTTTAAATACACTTTTGTGACCTTCTATGGGAACCGCGCTCGGTAGGAAATGACCATTAATTAGCATGTTTGGTTAACGTTTATTTTCGATAGCCATATAAAGATAAAATGTATTTTAAAGAACATTTGGAAGAAAAATGTGCTTTTATTGCCTTGAAGAAAATGACGTTGTCTTTACATGATATGCTCAAAGATTTTGGCTTTAGATTTTTAAGAAATCTTTCCAGTTTCCATGCATTTTTGTGGCAGATCAACTGTTGCATTCATGTTTGCCCATTTTAATCAACTAGATGCATACCTTCTGTGCAAGGAACATTTTTCATTCCTCTATAGCCTTGAGAAGATGCCCTGTAGGGTTCATAGAATTGTGCAGTGCATGTGAGACAATACTGCGTACTGTACTAATAAACGCACAGGTACGATGATGTAAGATTGGGCATTGCGCGACCGTAAATAGACTCACAATCGAAAACTTTTTGAAGGCCGAAACATAACCTTTCTTCGATTGCAAATGTGAAAAAAAATTATTTTTACACATGGGAAAAATGAAAGCATATATTTCGTCCATTTTTTTATAAGAAGCATTTGCATATAAAAGGCCATCTAACATTAGTGTAAAAAGGGAATGCCAATTAATTACTCATATTTACCGGATGCGGTCAAAGGAGTGCCCTTTGTCAAGTCCGACACAATATAAGATAAGACCGCATATTAATCAATAATGCAACTTCCTCTAAATATCTCTATCAAAGCAAAAGCGAATTTCGGAAGTTGGCCTAAATTTTATGGGCTCAGTCGCTCACTGCTGGTGGTTAATAGTGATATCAAAACCTGTTTTGCAATCTCGCACACCTGAGGCAGATGACAAAGCATTGTTAGGCACACGGTGGTTGGATCGGACGCAGTGCCTAACAAAGCTTAACAGCACGTATGTATGTCACCCTCTGTCGTTTGCTCCGGCAAAATCACCATCATTACAAACAAGGGCGATGCAGGTATGGTCCCATCTCAGTGGGACTGCCATGGAAACTTGGCCTTTCGTCCTTTGAAGATCGAATTATCAAAACTTATTTAAAGTTTCGGGAATTAAGAAAGCGGTGGCAGTTTAAAGGCGCACCATATTGGCTAAATGGATGAGCATTCACTGAATACCGTTGACAATCAGTCCACAGAATTGACCTTATCCGCTATTTTCTCCTTCCGGTACACATTCACTCTCCAAGCCGGTCTGTCCTCTGTTGAATTGGGCATAGTTGACTAATTCGAATAAGCAGTCAGTCCACGCTTGAAATGAACGAACTCTTATCCCCCAAATACAATACTCTGAGACATCACATAGGGAGATAAACGACTCGGCTTCAGTATATGGGATCTCTAACTGGTACATTCATGAAATTCATGAATGAGGTCATGAGATCCAAAACATATTTCCTAGCGTCACTCTGCTGCATTGGCGACTGAGTCAGTGGACCGTAAAATAAATGAGCGCGCATATTTGGATTATCATACACACAGTGACCATATGCTCTGGGTTCAAACACTTCAGTAGCCTCGAAACTTTAGGATAGATGTTGCCTTATATAACTTCTAATGATATGAATCATTGACGGAATCATAGACTTGCAAACTCCTGACGCAGTTTCCTTGAACAAGTCTGTACGAAATTTTAAGTGTTTTATCGCTTTTTAGTCAGGAGTATTGTATTGCAAGTAAGCGGTTATTCATATCTATGCCTCTGATGCCGACCGCATGTAGATTGAATACGTTTCAAGGAAAGTGTCAATTTACTGGCTTATTCTTTGGTGTTGGAAATGTGCAGTGGCGAGTGTACAACGCTTTCATACAAAAACCTAAATGCAACATACAGCGGGCGCTCCGATTTTGGCTTTTGTTATGATTAACGCCCAAACCTACGTAGCAATACCTGTTTTTTGAAAAGGGAAAGGGAGACAAAGCGATTGTTATGAAAGCATTCCTGTCTTCTTGCAATGAAACGTGATGAAAGTCTTAAGCCTTGTGTTTGCTGCTAGCCACAAATTAAAGCAAAGACGCCTAAGGGTTTGTAGTGTACTTAGCAAAATAAGCGTCACCTCTAACCTCCGTGGTTTTCCCTCTCCGCAGGCGCTAGGTAGGCTATGTCGCTTTGCTACCTGTTTCTCTGTTTGGTCATCATAAATGTGCACAGTTCATTTAGAGTTCACATGCTCGCATATACGTCATTCCTCGCGCGGGTAACAGGAGACAAGAATGGTGTTTTGGTGCAGCCGTGTCTACTAAACTAAATTCCGGGTTCAGTGTTTATCTGAGCATGGTGTGAAAAGCTGCATATATAAAACCCAAAACAGGGCTGATGAGACATTTTCTTTCAAGTCAAGGATCATGCGTCTTCTCAGCGTTATCTTTGGAGTCCTTGTTCTCTTTGTCTTTTCGGCCGAGATTGGCAATGCTCACAGGGGGTATCGGCCACACAAGAAATGGGGAGACACTGCGGTCTACGGAGATGGATTCGGCTTCAAAATTGACGATGATTATGATGATGGTGATGACGGTGACCACGATGATCAAGATGATCAAGACGAGCACGTTAAAGATTATGAAGAGGAAGCACACACGTCAATTGAAGATGAAGAACACGGAGATGAGCAGGCTGAGGAAGCCGGAGAAGACGACGAATATGAGGATTAAGGAGGGGAATTTTCGCGCAACTGACAAATAATCACTGTTGCAAATTATTTTTAGCATCGTAAGACTACAATCTTAAATTGCTTTTGGCTTAATGCATTTAAGAAACACTAATGAAAGTTCTAAATAGACTGCAGTTTAGCTTATTATGTCCTTTTATGAAGCAGTTTAACAGCCGGGCCTTTCTCGAAGGCATATAGCAGTTGCACAGGTTTGCTAGTGTGTGCAAAATTATGAAAATAAAATCGAAAATTTAATTTCGCATATCGTGAATAAAAGCCTGCTTTCAACAATATCGGACATCCCATGATGAGGAAACTATTCCTTTGGAAAATAAGTCAATAAGGATAAGATGCGGCTATCTAGCGGTTATTAAGCCACCTGATGGACAACATACTGTTTGGATTGAGGTAAGGGTTGGGGGTTATGAGTAGGGATTATGTTTAGGGATTTGGATGGTGGGCTAGGGTTAGCGGTTAGGGTAAGGTGTTTGGGGTGAGGGGTCAAATTAGGGCAACTATTTCATAGCCATTTAAATAACAGCCTCACATTCCCAATAGCCTTTCCTTTGCATACAACTACTTGGCCTCGTTGCCTCTGCGTTGCCAGCCCCACCTGTAAGAGCCTCTATTACCACCGGTCGCGTATTACATGTGGCTAGGACATTTTACTTTATGTGGTGCAACATAAACACATCTGACCAAAATAAGATCGAAGAGTGTAGACTATGACCTCGTTGCCCGTGCGTTCCCGACCTCACTTGCTGAAGCCACTATTAGCACCGGTACCATATTACATGTGGCTGTAATTGTTTACTTCGTATTGTGAAACATAACCTCATCAGCCCTAATAAGTTTGAAGAATATAGACGCTGATGTCTTATGAAAACATGCATTGCATGTGTCCAGAAGGAAGGACAGATGGGTGAACATATTTTGAGTATACTGCAGTGAACAAGTTTAGAATTGATCCGGTTCTTTGCATAGCGTGCTCCACTCAGATGACTGTATTACAAGCAGGTGTAAGCCTCTGGGTATATAACATCTGAGGGCGAAAGAGTTAGTCACAAATAAATCAGTCGCATGGATCCTTCAGATGGTACACGATAGGCAGGCCCATTTATGCACAGACAGTTTGGACGCCTAGGAGAATAACGCAGATTGACGGAGGTCTCCGAGCAACGCGGAAACCTGGCTACCTCGAGGTTTCACAAATGACCAATTGGAAGTCAATAGCGTTTGAAGTAGGCAAAAGTGTCAAACGGACATTGGCAGTAATTAGGAGTATGTTTGGGAGCAAAAGTAAAATCGATAAAAACGTAATGACTGACGGACGCAAAAATCATGTTTTCATACTTGCAAAACGTATGCCCGTTCAAACAAATAGAATTCAACAGTAGTTTTAGAGTATCTGAAAACCAATATGCCAACTGAGAAATGCATCGCTTAAATAAGTGCTGCAGTCAGCAACCGCCTGATTTTGTGCGAAGTTAATAAGATCTGCGGATTACTTGTAAATTAAAACCTTAGCGTTTCGCTTAGCAAGAAAGGGCCAGCCAGAATGTAAATTATGCTGCTGTATTGCGTGTTTATTAAGGTTTCTGGAGTGTGTATTTCAGTAAGATAGTTGTTCATCTGCTTAGACGGAAGAATTTAAATAAAATTGTAAATTTTGTATTCACTTGGTATCAGAATAAATTAGCCTAGGTTATAATTCAAGTTTTCTCTCAAAACTCAAGGTATAAAAAGCGTCCTGGCGACATATACGGACGACTATAAACTGAAGTCATGCAACGCATTCGCATAACTATACGCTCTTTTTCGTGTTCGCCAACATCGAGCTAACACTTTAAGTCAAAAGGCTTATTAGTGTTTCATGTAGTTTGTGCAAAATATTATAATATTGGTATACAACTAACCATCCAGGAGGGCCTTGAGGAAGAAATTCTTTGGCGCTAAAACCTTACCACAAAATCCTGAGTGGCCGTATTAAGGATTATGTCTCGTTTGGCAGTGTAGGCATCTGAGAGTCGGACGTCACGACTCGACAATTAAATGGTATTCGTGTTTGGAATGTGTTTGAAACGCAGCGAAGGGATAAAAGCATTAAAAGACAAATTGAAATGCGGACGTCAAAAAGATAGAAATATTCTGATGCAGAAATAAAGGAGGCTAAAATAGTATAAGATTTTGAACAAAACCTATTAAAAAGCATTTTTATTTTACAAGAAGAATGAAAGAAAACTAAGCCTGGGGTTTAATTTATTGCCGCATTATGCAAACGATGCTCGCGATCAGGTTTCGGTTTAATATTGAATACACCCCAATGTTTATATGAGATTATTCGAGCTCTCGGTTGCGCATGCTATCTTTGGTGCGCTTCCGTTTACGTCACTGGGTGTTCAGACAGGATAAACTCATTAGATCTGTGCAATAATATACTGCGGTAAACCCCTTTGAACAGTTCTATTTCCGCGACAGTTCTGTCACTGTCCATGTTTGGCCATATCTTACTGTTCTTTAGTGTTTGTCTTATTTTCGGAAGGCGGATGGTCTCTGATAATCGCATATGTTTCGAATCTGCAGTCGCGTTCGATGGGCTTCTGTGTAGATAAGTGTGCACGTTGTTTGAAAGCGGGTATAACTTTGACTGAACCCGTCGCTCTAAGTTTATAAATACATCAGAACAGATGCAGCTTGTTTCGGGACAATCAGAGCATCTGCTTCCAGCATGAATTTCACTTATGTAACAGTACCCAAGTTCCATATCTTTTCAAAAGTACACCGATAATGCGATAAAAATAGCATAAGTCTTATTACTGATTCGGCGTATGTGGTAAGTCCAAGAGGACAAAAATAAAGACAGAAGGACTCTAAGAGTGGACACGTCCGCCGTGAACCCCACAGAGCAAGATTTAGAATCCTATTAGGCAAGCGTGCGCTGTTTTTTGAATTCAATCCTCCTTTAGCCAGTAGGATCGGATAGCGAGGCAATGTCAAGTCGGGCAAAGGTAGATGGCAAACCTGCACGGTCCATCTACGAGTATATCAAAGGTCATGGTCCTCGGCACACACATCAGATATTCGTGGAACTGCCTAAAATCTTATGAAAGTGTCATAAGAGTATCATTGAGGATTTATTGTGGCACGAGCCCGAGTTGCATATAGAATCGACTTAGGCCGCAGTTGGTAAGCTTTTTAAGCCCACATATCATGTGCGCCAAACGAGAAGCGGACACTTGTTTATAGTGCGTTTTAGAATAGGAATAATTTCGTATTTGTGGTTGTCATACGGATTGTATTGCTACATAGTCCTTAATATTTCGGACTCGAAAGGATAGCGGCTTTTAAATGAACTTTTTGAATTTCTCTTAGGGACGTTACTCGATAAAAATGACTACTTAGGTAACATGCATTTTACGAAGATTTTCGGCTGTCTTCTATCTTTAAATATATTTTTAAAAAACCATGAACGAAGATAAGCTTTCTTTTACTCGTTTGATAGCCAATAACGTTGTCTTCACATTTTATAATCATAAAAAGTGTATTAGTAATTTCTAAACAACGTGTCCGATTTCCGAATAATTTGGAACCTGATTAGTGGTTGCATAAGCGTCTTAAGATTTCAAGACCTGAGGTGCACGCGCTTTGCTTAAGAAAAATCATATAATCCCTTTTGCATTCAAAAAATATCGTATTGATTCTATAAAATTTAACAATGTATGCGGATGATGTTGTGCATTTCATGAGGAGCAATTATAAATTTACAGATACGGTGCTGTTTGAATGGGCATTTTACGGCCTTAAAAATCTCCTACTCATAAACAGTTTTAAAACGTCATTTTACACTTTGTTGATGTATAGAACATGATTTTCTGCCATACAAGTAAAACAAGGCATATTGATGTTCCTGGTTTTTATAAAGTATATTTGAATTTATAGCGTCATCAAAAGTCAATGTGAAAATAGAATGATACTTAATTACCCATTTTTACCACGTAACGTCCCTAAGAAACATTACAAAGAAGTGCATTTGAAAGCCGCTATCCTTCCGTGATCGAAATATTATAGGCTTATGTCGCACGATATTTTTTATTGCAAACACACCTAAGTAATCCATCCTAATCAAAAGCGCATTTCCGAATTTTGGCCAACATTTCATGAGATCGGTCACTCACTGTAATACACTAATATAGATTTAGTTCCTCGGAAAAAAGTCAACGGGGAAATTTGATTTGGACCTTTGAGCCAAAAGTTATATTCTTAAGCCGTCGACTGGTATTCACTGGGATAGGACAGTTTGACCGTCGTTTTCACAGTATGAACCGTAGGACCGACAGCGAGCGGACGCAGGTACAGTTACATGCTAGGGTTGAACTGCATCCATCACACTCTTTCCTCCCTCATCCTCCTTTCGTCCGCGGACAGGACCGAGGAAGGATGAATGAAGAAGGGATCGGGCGCGACGTGAGTCCGCGCCTAAGCGTATTACAATTGTCATGCATACCCATTCGCAATAGCGACCGTCGTAGCATACTTCATAGCTCTCTATTTGTCTAGTGCAATTCCCGCGTGGTCCGCAGTTAAGGGTACTTGCAGTATACACTAACAGTGCAAGTTATATCAAATATCCCAGACACCTGTTCCCACTCTATTCTATCGCTGATCGGTACAGCTGCGAGGGGTTCCAATCGCCATTTAATCCTCAGAATTCCGTGCGGGCTTTTTGGGAGTTAATCCAGTTCTAAAATCATAACATGACACCTTCTGTAGAAACTACTGTCCTAATGTGGCGTCAATTTTTGCCAATAAAAGAGTTTGGGTTCAGTACGAAAGTTGGCATGAACGTCTGCGCCAAAACATGCATTAGCTTCAGTTGGATAACCACGTATTCTTCATAACCCACCATTAGCATGCTGAATTTTGGTTAAAGGCATGCTTGGGCTAGTGACTGTGTTGTCAGTATAAATCACAGAGCAAAGCTTATGACATTTTTGATAATTT